CATCATCGATCCACAGGGAAAGAACCATGCATGTGCATATATACAAATAATTGATAACCAATTAACAAAAATAAAGTTATTACGAGAATCAGAGTATAATAAACAGAAATAATTTGAAAATATTAATGAGTTTGTAGATGATTCAGAATTTTTTATAGTGACTTGATTATAAGTTGACTTTTTAATAAAGAGAAAATTGTACTTTCGTAGATTTTGGACCGCTAAATTTTGTCAAGTAATGTTCATAACATGTGTGGAAAATTAAAAGCTGCAATATACGCTTTCGAATTGTACTCGTGATAACGTCTAATAAATTTTGTACTCGTGATCGATCTTTTTGCCTATAACTCCAGAAAATGTGAGCCGTTGAAAAATATATATATATTTTTATGTAAATGTGCACAATCAAAAATTTATATTTTTTTGATGTAAATGTGAACTATCAAAAAGCTAACGGTGGAATTGTTTTCGGTTTCCATTTGAATATAAAACAATAGTTATAGAATTTTTGTTGTCAACATGTAATATACAAATTTAAACCTGGATTGTTATACAACTGTGATACTAGCTAGCACAAATCAATAGAGTACATGTCCTCGTCAACTCCATAAGTATGGATCTTATTAACGATAAGAGATTAATAGGAGTTGATAAAATTAGAATAACTAGTAATTCAAAATTATAGATAATTATTGTTTCATGACATCCATGACTGCAATTGCATCTATACGATTTCTAGTAGTCAAGTCTAATGTGGCATATCTTGGTGAGTCAACAAGGAGAAGAGGGCAATATGCCTCGTTGGATGAGAGTTTCAAGATCTTTGTCGCCACGGCCACTGCAATTCACGACCACTTTGGCTCCATCACGCAGAGTAGGAACGAGTTTGTCAAGGAAAGCGAGCGCGTGAGACGCTTCCAATGCCGGGATTATTCCCTCCAATCTACTCAATCGCATGCACGCTACAATCGACAAGATTGAAAAGTATTTAAGTAATGATAATTCTTGTAAATGAAAAGATTAGAAGTAAGTTACAATCGATATTTATAACCAAAAACCAAAAAAGTATCAGTTAATAGAGAGGTATACCTTGAATGGCTTCTTGGTCTGTTGCTGTGTAGAACTCGGCTCTTCCAGATTCTTTTAGAAAGCTAATCTCCGGTCCAACTCCGGGATATTCTAACCTGCGAACATGTAACCAAGCATGCGTGAGGCCTAGTACTTCACATAACTAGGTGACTTGCATGTGATAAACGTGTAAACTTTTTTTTGGATAAAAAAACGTTCAACTTTATAACGTTAAACACTTAAACTTGTACTAGCAGAAGACTTCACAGAAATTATTGTATAATTAATAAATTATGCATCAACCTCAATAACTCCAGGGCTAATTGACACTGTTCATTACTACCAAATTTGTTTTGATAATAACATCTACCAAATTTGTTTTGTTTTAGCCGAACTATCTTTTGTGCCGTCAACCGAACTATTTCATGTGTATTCGTTAGTGTCTTGACTAAATGTACCAGTTTTGTGTGACAATAAAAATGTATATGTTGAGGACATAACTTTCACACTTACCCTACTCCTACGGAATGTGGTTTAAGTATCTGTCCTTGATCATCTTGCAATAAATAGCTCATGGCACCATGGTACACACCAATATCTCCAACGGCCAAAGTAGCTGAATGTTTCCCTGAATCCAGACCAAGCCCCGCGGCCTCGACCCCAACTAACCGCACATCCTCGTCCCCAACAAACTCATGGAACAAACCCAATGCGTTTGAGCCACTTCCCACACAAGCCACCAATACATCAGGCTTACCACCCCATAGTTGATTTGCTTGGCTTCTCGTCTCTTTACCAATCACGGATTGGAACTCGCGTACCATTATCGGACACGGATGCGGTCCTACAACCGTGCCCGATAAGTAGTACGTGCTATATAGATTCTCGACCCAGTTTCGAATCGCCTCTGAGCTTGCATCTTTGAATGTTCCTTCCACTGATATCACCTTCAAAAATAAGTATTTAAAACGAATGTTATGTTCGGGTACGTATATGAATATTTTGTTGTTAGATAAATAAAACGAAAGCAAACAAAATTGAGTACTAACTTATATATGTTTCATGATTTTTACACTACGTTTTAAAATTTTCTTGTTGTTAGTTTTACGTTTCTTGCTAGATTTTTGCCTTCTTTTTTATTATTCTAGTAACTATGTTGTTCAAATTTTTTGTTTTCTCACTTATGAGGGCTGTTAAAATTTTGTAAATCTTAAACATATACTCTAGTTTATACTAAAAAACGGGAGTGGTCCCTCACTTTCTTGATCCATAAGTTTTAAAACCAAGAGCAAATATGTAAACACTAAATGACAAAATACATTATGTTATAACTTTATTCCGCAAAACTGGATCCGGTTAATTTCACTTGTATTGAATATGTATTTGCGAGG